CCGACGCCCCGCCTACATGCGCTCCTTCTGAATTGGATGGGCTATGCCGTGGTCCCGCCTCATCGCTCAGCTAGTCATAAGGGCGCAGACAGCCGCATTCGGCCATGCCTTGTTGCTATTGGCCGAAGTGTGCGTCAGTCGTGGGAGGGCTGATGTTAGTCCGTTATGAGCGGAAGGACGAGAAGGACCTTCCAAGGGCTGTCTCTTGTGATGCCTAATGGAAATCAGGATCCGTCACCTGCATTACAAGCTTCTACCCTCAGTGGAGCTTCTTGGTTGTAGTCAGGCGTTTCCCAAAGGCAACCCTGGGGCAATGGTTTCCCTCAACGACGCGAGGGGTTCAGGGGCACATTTTGGTTCTCCCGCAGCAGGAGGCGAGCGGGCATCCTAAGCGGGTGAGGTCCTGACGCGGCTTTGCCGGCAGTGGCCGTTCTGCACCAACATGGCGGCGGTTGCCGGAGCGACGTGGCCGGGGCGCCTCTGGTTTTGTCTCCTGGCGGCGCTGCAGGGGGTGAGGGCAGGCTCAAGTCACCTCGCGCCTGAGGGGCCGGAGGAGGCTGCAGCCCGGGCACGGGGCGGGGAGCGGCGCGGGCGGGCGGGCGTGCGGATGGGTGAGATGTGGCCGCTCGGAGAGGCGGAGGAGCCGCCCCAGGCCTGCCCGCTCGGGGCCAGCCGGGCGGCGAGGAGCGCCGGGACCCTTGCGCGGCCTCCTACTGGCTCCGCTGCGCTGTGGGCGGCTGGAGCGGGAGCAGCACCCGTGGATGCTGCTTCTTGCACCCCGAGGTCGCCTTGGCTGCGTCAGGCGGGCACCGTGAGGCCCTTGCAGAAGCTCCCTGTAGCCAGCTAACGGGTGCCTTGGCCGGACAAAGGGCTTTCAGGCTTTTCTTCCCCTGCTAAGAGTGCCTGATGTGCCCCAAAATTGGCAGATCTGGGACAAAATTATTGTTGTTTAAAACAACCGGGGTGGGGGGCTGTATCCTATATTGGAGGCCTGGTTTTGCTAGCTGGGATCCTACAAAGGTCCAGCAGCCAGGGGCTGAGATATATATGAGCAGAATGGGACACCAGGGGCAGCTGCAAACTTCAAGAGCTCACAACTTGCCTGAGAGTGGGAACGTTAAAAAGTTTCTGGGCTGCCCCTGTGCCTTTTAAACTTCCAAATGGACCGATAGCCAGGGCAGTGTTGGTGGGTCATGGATGGCAGCCTGCTCTGCAACCCCTCAGTCCCTTGCTCTCCTTCAAGAGGGAAAGTGACTGGCTCAGGATGCTTGCTGCCCACATGTTGCCACCAGGGTGACAGCAATGGATGGGGGAAGCCCACCAGTGAGTCCTTTGGAGTGAACCAAGGAGCCAGAGAACTTGCTTTCTCATAACTTTGTACAAAAAAGTTGTCCAAAACTCTGGCAGGAGTTTTGTAACTCCTGCCAGAGGGTTTTGAACATGAAGCTGCCAATGGCACTTTGTTTTCCATTTTTGTAGTGCTACAAAAAGAAGCATGCTAGGGCCCTTGTCCTGTCACTGTCCCATCTAAGATCGGAGACCCTTTTCTAAAACTTAATTCATAACTCCAAAGCAGGGGGGAAAGAAAACTCAGACGTTCCCAAGCATCCGAACACAGGAATTGTAGGACTGCACAGGAATTGTAGACCCTTACGCATCCCTGCGCTGAAAAAAATAAGAGTAGAAAAGGAGTCAATAAAACGTTAAATCTGCTTAGCCACTCTTTCCCCCCCCCCCCCCCCC